CCCCCCAGCACCCCCGCAGCCCCAGCGGGCCGGCAGGTCACAGCCACCCTCGACGTGCAGTGTGAGTGCGGGGGCACCGGAGGTGGGGGGGCACTAGGGGAGGGGACCCAGGTGTCCGGGAGTTCCCCCCTCTTCCCCCCTGCCCGGGTGGTGCTAGAGCCTAGAGAGAATCCAGGGAGCCTGTGCCCCACCGCAGCCCCCCAGGGCAGTGGTGCAGCCCGGAGAGAACCCAGGTGTGCGGGGGTGGGGAGGACCCAGGTGTCCAGGAGCACCCTCCACCCACCAGGCTGGTGCTGGAACCCAGAAAGGACCCAGATATCCAGGCGCTCATGCCCACGTGGAGGCACCCAAAAGGAATGCAGGTGTCTGGGAGCTCCCTGCTCCCCCCCTTCCCCCCCCACCCCAGGCTGATGCAGGAACACAGAGGCCGCAGGTGTCCGGGAGGTCCCCCCACCCCGAGGCTGGTACTAGGAACCCAAGAGAACCCAGGTGTCTGGGAGCTCTTGCCTACTGGGGACCCCCAGGGCAGAGAGGACCCAGGCGGCACTTGAGGGGGGGGAATCCTGGGGGGGGCACCATGAGGGCCCAGCCCCCCCCACTGTGGTCCTGTCCGTGGAGCCCCCAACAGTCCCTGAGGGGGGCAAAGTCCGCTTCCTCTGCGAGGCCACGGCCAACCCCCAAGTGACCTCCTACCGGTGAGCGAACCCAGGTGTCTGGGGTCCCCTGCTGGGCTGAGAGGGGCTGGGGGGATGAGAGCTGGTTCGGGGCACCCTCCACTGGCTGCAAAAGGAGCTGCAGCCTTAGCCAGAGTGGGCTAAAAGGAGCAGGTCTCCCCTCCCCCCCCAGGCCCCACCCCCTGAGGCTCTGTGCCCCTCCCCCCGGCAGGTGGACAAAGGGGGGCGTGGCCATCGCAGGGGCCGAGGGCCCAAGCTATGAGGCAACGGTTGACCACTCGTTCTTCACCCAGCCCGTGTCATGCGAGGCTGCCAACGCCGCTGGAGCCACCAACATCACCACCCTGGTGGATGTACACTGTGAGTAGGGGTAGGGCTTGGCCAGGGTCCCTGGGCCCAGGGGAGCTGTGGTCAATGACCCCACCCCCCCACCCCAAGGGGCTGCCAGGGCTGTATCTGCCCAGCTGGGGGCCGCAGGGGCCCAGGGGGGCCACTAGGGGGCTCTAGACCCATTGCAATAGCACTGGGGGCTGCTAGGGGGGCCTGGGCCCCTCTGGGGTGGATGTGATCATGGGGGGCACTAGGGGACTTCAGGGTCTCTAGGGGGCACCCTGCAGTGGACAAAAGAGACCCCCAAGGGGCTCCAGGGCTGCATCTGCCCAGCTGGAGGCTGCAGGGGCCACTAGGGGACTCTAGACCCATTGTAGTAGCCCTGGGGGGCCACTGGGAGGGCTGTGGCCCTGGTGGAGGCACTAGAGGCACCCTGCAGTGGCCAACAGAGAACCCCAGGGGGCGCCAGGGGTGTATCTACCCAGATGGAGGCCACAATGGCCAAAGGCATGTGCTAACTACAGGGCTCTAGAGCCATTGCAGTAGCTCTGGGAGAGCACTAGAGGACTTGGGGAATCTAGGGGGCACCCCACAGTAGCCAATGTAGACCCCCAGGGGGCACCAGGGCTGTCTCCACCCCCTGGAGGCTGCAATGGCCAACAGGGACAACTAGAGGGCCAATAGCTATGGTGGTACAAGGGATCTCCTAAAAGGGAGAGTGGGGGGAGGTTCTGGGGGGCACCAGGGGGTAGAGGAGCAGGGAGGTGCTGGGGGGGTCATGGCACTGAGCACCCCCACCCCCCACAGTCGGGCCCCGCCTCC